AGGCGTTCAATAAGGCTTTGCTCTCTCATGCGTGAATCTGCAGAACAGTCTCCCCCAGTGCAAAGGTAGAACATTCGTGATGGTTTGCTGTTGTTTATTTAGTTGTTTTCTCTGCTGCTTTATATTGCTTTGGGGCTTGTGTTCAAATGGATTTGTCTGACATGCTGCACATATCCCTTGAGCTGGCTTCAGGGGCAGCTGCTGCGTTCGCCTGCTTGCAGCATAAAAAGGTGTCTGTAAATGCCTCATTATAATGCCAGGTCTTGGTGGCAGGGTGAAGGGCTGCAAGTGGGATAGCTACAGCAAGCGGCTCCCAACCTGTTTGTGAATAGCAAAGTGGAGCACTGGGGCTCAGGTGACTCTCAACAGCTGTCTGGCTATCCAGTGTCTATATGATGTAAAAACCCAGTATGGGCTACAAGTGTGCTTAGTGGGAAGCCTGGGCTTGAGGCGAGCAAAGAATCAGATATTTCCCCGTCATCCTCCTCACCACCCAAGTGTACAACTGTGCTCAGGCACAAGCAGAGAAAACTTTCCCTCAGCAAGTTAAAGTTTAAGGGCTTGCTGGAATCAAGCTGGTATTCAGAGGTCATGAGAAAATTGTGCTTGGCCTTCACAACTGCAAAACCTGCTTCAGACCTGTCACAAAATATCACAATGGCTAAGAGGTGAGACTAGCAATGGCTGTGTTTAACTACCTACACAGCTATTTTATCACATGCGTATTTCAGAGAAAAGAACCAAGATATTCTGCTGAAAATAAATGTTCTCAACAGATAACAGGCTTCCAGAGGCCTACCAGGTGCTCTGTGCAAGCAAGTTTGCTTTGTTATTTTTCTGTCATTTGGTTTTTTCCCACATACTTCCCAAGGTCCTGCTCGGCTGCTACGCACTCTCCTCGGGGTCGCTGTGCTTTGCCTGTGGGGGAAGAGGGCCCCGGTCACGTTGCAGCATGTTGGTTTGAAGCAAGGGCAGCTTTGAGGTGTTTCTGCTATCTCAGCCACCTCCCACATTCCCGTCTGGATTGCACTTTCTTCTATTTTTTTCCCATTCCCCTTTTGTCAAGAAAATTTACAGAGCTTGTCTTTCATCTCCTTCCAGAGATAGGGCTTGTAAATGGAAACAAGCCAAAAGATGCTGGAGCTTATCAGCATTTATTTCCCTGCACTTCTGCTGAAGCTGAGGTTACATGTAACACCATAGAAGAGGAATTTTCTGTGGTTTACGTGTCTGGTTCCTTTGTTCACTAATTCACAAAAGTGAGAGCCTTTTACCCTTTGAAATTTATTGTTTGTCATGCAATGGTAGTAGCAAGAGGGATGGCGTCTTGGCTCAGGACTGCAGGAGCACAACTGAGGATGGTCAGCAGTAAGCCCACTCTGTTTGCAGGAGTCCTGTGAGGGAATTGTTAAAAATCAGACAAATAGTGAATTTGCTTTGTGTAATCAAGGAGTCAGTAATAATGAGCTCATTCCATTGCAAAAAGCAAGTTTATAAAATGCAAAGTTGTCTTAGTAAAAGGAGAAGAGGGCTTGAATTTATTGCCAGCAGCCTCAGGTATGTCCTGGAGCATGTGTAAGTGTCAGGTGCACCACTGAAGATGCTGGCTGCAGTCTTTGGTGAAGTTATGCTCCCTCTCTACCACGTGTTAAGGAATGAAAGCAGCTGCTCAGTAAATTAGAAAGTGAGAGACCAGCGGGTTGCAGTGATCCCAGGTGAGCTAAAAATCTGTGATGCAAGGGAACAAGCCAATTTGCACATGTTGCACAGGGCAGCTAAATCTGTGCACGCACCTCTGCTAATATGCCCGTTGCTCAGGCTGCCTTAAAAGATTATGCTCAGTTGCTCAACCTCAAGTAGCTTTCAATTTATTTAAGAAATTAGGAGCTGCTAAATGCTAGCTATAAATTCTCCCTAGAAAGTTGCAGATTGCAGAAGGTATAGCAGCAAACAGCTTGGTGACAAAGAATGGACTAGGCTAAGGATCAGAGCAAATGTCCCAGGCACCAGAATTTCCTGTCCTGCAGCTAGGTTTGTTGTGTAACTGAGCTGAATGTGGACTGCAGCCACAGTTCTACAGGAAGCTTTGTGGTGCAGTCTCAGCAGGGAGTTAGCTGCAGCAATGTAAGCTGTCCTGGACTGTTGCAAATTGGAAGGCAGTCTTTGCTGACCTGAGCAGCTGGCTCAGATTTTCTCTAGGTGCTTCAAAAGTGAAGCGCTATAAAATAAATGATCAGTGCATCATTTGTGCCTCCAGTACTTCTTCAAAGCAAGCCCTTTGAATTCTTGCAATTAAGCTGTAAAGTTTGCATCTGAAGCATGTCCCTCCCTTTCCCTATGCCCAGCCTTCTTTCTTCATTAGCATTCAAAGCCTAAGAATTCCCTCTTTGATTGTGTCGCTGGTGAACAGCTGAAAGGTAGCGGGTTTGCTGCTCAGTGATTCCAGGATGTGAAAAGCAGAGAAAATCCTGCACACCAGCTACCTTCCCAGGGTGGCAGTGGGGATGAGTGTGCTGTAGTCCACTTCTTCAGAGAGTGGCCTTAGCTAAGACATCGGCTTGTGGTCTATTTCATTTCAGGGTCAAAGTAATTTTTTCCCCTTTCAGCAGTCAGATATTGAGTTTATACTGTTTTAAGGTCAAATACCTGAAGTCATCTTGACATGAGCAAGACTGATAGTTGTTGCCGGCATGCTGGAGGGATGTATAGCCAGCAGTTTCTGCTCTGCTTTGTTCTTCTTTTATGTGCAAGCAGCTAATGTGATCTGCTTGTGTGGCAATGAAAATTGAACACTGACTTCCAAAAATGTTATCTTTGCCTTTCAGAGCAGATCCTGTTATCTGACCATTTAAGAAACCATTTGGAATCCAAAGGTAGTCAACAATTTAATTAGCTGTCTATCAAAATGTCAACCAAGATGTTCTGTTGCCCACTGCTGTGCCTTCAGCCTTGCGGCCCCTTCCTTCCCAGCTCTGCACTGTTCCCTCCAGCATCCTGCCTTACGGGTGCACTGGGGGATGATCAGAGCAAGAGAGAGGTTCTGAGAGACCCCTCTGACCTGTTGCTGCTGATGGGCTGCAGAGTGCCTGCCCCAGGTACTCATCAGCTGCCCCACAATTATGGGGAAGAAGGAAAAGTCTTCTAGATATACAGTTAGGGTTATTTTTCTCCACTTAATTATGAAGAATGTATTAGTAGGAGATAGAGTCTCCTTCTGAGAATTTAAGAGATAACAGTATGGCTGAACTGGTTGCCATGTGGTTGATTTAAATTAACTCAAGTTAATTTCTATTTCTGTTCCTATTGAATTGTTTCTATTGAGGTGTTTGAGAGTGATTTCATGCTGAAAATCATAATTCATTCCAGAGAAATACAAACTTGCCAGTGACCATAGCCATGACGTGCATTATTTTCCCTGTCCTCAGCTCAGATCATGCATGGATTGTTCTGCCCTGAGTAAAAAGGAGTTTCCCACAGCTGGATGGGAAATCCTTGGCAGTGCCGTAGGTGATCAGCATGGAGTTGTGCCCTCACTTGTTTTTTTCCTGCAGTGAGAAGGGGTCATGCTTGCTAGATGACTGTATACGACCATTTCTATTGCAACATCTTGTGCTGTACTTCAGATAGATAATGCCACACAAGTAAGGGTTTGACAGGTCTGAAAGCAACTGTGGAAATGAAATTAACTGGTAAAAAGTGTTCCACGCCAGGTTGTAGCTCAAAGGGTGCATTTTATTGTGCATCTCAGTAAAAACCAGTGGTAGTTATGCCCCTCTTAGAACTATGCACTGAATAGCACAAGAAAGCTGAATGAGGCAGTTCTCTATACAGACAGGTCATCTCTGATTGGCTGTGATGGTGGAGATAAGGGAATTTTGCTTGGCTCGTTAACACTGTGAAATAAACTCTGTGACTTGTGTCTGGGTTGCTTGTTCTGAAATTTCAACTGCAATGGCTGTAGGGCAGGAGAAAATATTTTGCGTTGTATAAATCAGTGTAGATAAAACTGTTCATTAACTCTGTAAGAACGCTTCCATAGGCAAATTCTAAGATAAATGTCTAGGGTGCCTGTTTTTCTTTTGATTTCCTTTAATGTAATCTCAGTTCTTATTGGGTCAAATTATTTTGATGTGATTTTCTTGATGTTTGGGATAATATCCATTTACAAATCAAAGGAAAATTAGACAATTAGGAGAAGAGCTGACAGAATTAAGGAATTTTCTTCAGTAAGTAAAACTGAGCAAGGCAATGGAAAAGAGTAGGTTCTGCTGCAGTGGAACACTCTTTTGTAAATCTGAAGATGCACATAGGTAGGGGATGTACTCCAAGCAAACTAATACCAGCAGTTTGACTCAATAGGAGTCAAAGAGTCCTGTGGGTGGGACTCATCTGACATAACTTGATACATACAATGCAAATGCGTGCATTTGCCCAATAAATTTAATGAGTAGTCAGTCAGACATAAAGGCTTTTTCAGGATGTGAATACGTTTGTTTGTTCTAGGCATATGTTTAAGTGGAAATGAAATGTGTTCAAGTATAGTTTCTCCTTCATGAACTGTAATGAGGGGGTGGAGTGATAGTGCGAGTATCTATGAGTAGTACAATGAAACCTAATCCATGGGACAAATTCTGGCATTTATTTCTTCTTTCCTGAGACATCTCAGTAGTTTCAGCCTGGCTAGCCACTTGCTCATGATCTGGGGATTTCTGAGAGCTGTAGTCATTATAGAATAACACTGATTACTGAATAATATGTGCCAGCCTTTGGGGTGAGGGCCATCTTTTTGCTTTGTGTTTATGCAGCCCCAAGCACAGCAGGGTCCTGCCCCAGGATGGACCTCCTGTATGCCAGCACAACACACATAATCGATAATAGCAGACTTAATTAGGACTTTGATCAGTCTCTCGTCCTTCTAATTCGCTGTGTTTTAAATCTCTGTGATGTCTAAATGAGGTTTGATAACAATTCTCTGTCTCTCATTTCCTCCTGTCCCGCAGGAGCACATTTACAAGCTGATGAAGAGTGACAGCTATGCGCGCTTCCTCCGTTCAAATGCTTACCAGGACTTATTGCTGGCAAAGAAGAAGGTATCTGTTGGAAAGGACATGCTTGCATCTATTTGCACCTCTTGATTCTCGCCTGCTGCTTGCTGCTAGTGTGAAAATGAAAATATTGTTTCCTTTTTAAAAACATTTTATTTAATAAGAATTTTTGTTTTCTTCACCAGGGGCACAGAGTATGGCATCCGTATGCACAACCTCAACACGTTTTTGGGAAAGTAGGATGGCCCAAGACAAAAAAAAACAAAAACAAAAAACAACACCCAGAAATTTGCTTGTCTTGCACAACAGCCTCCCAAATGCAGTGCAGGCAATTAAAACTGCAATGCCTTTTCTGTAGATGGTGTCTGTATGAGAAGCAGAACTCATCAATCTACTGATTGGTCTTGCAAATTTCACCCATTCTGCTTTTCACCTCCTCAGTCTCACCAGGTGATCTTTCCTTTGGATGCCTTACCTCTAGACTGCCCTGTAGTGATTTCCATTCTCGTTTTCCCTTGCTCTGGCCATAAAAAAGATAGTTCTTTTTTCCTTGGAGACAGGAAATAATTGCAACCCATGCAACAATTAAGGGTTTCAGCCACATTTTTTACAGGTCAGCTGATTTTGAGCTCTTTAGCATTGCTGGCACCCACATGTGCTTTGCCAGCACGGCATGTCTGCCAGGAACCCGCAGTTCAAGGTAATGAAGGAGTGGTTACCTGGTGTGTGGCAGTTCCTGCCCAAATGCCCATCCTTTTCAAGGGGCTGGGAGGTAATCTACAGGTCTCTGCACCAATAGCTGTATTCAGATGCTTCCTGCACCTCCTGACTCCTGTAAGTCTGTGTGTCCATGTGTGTTCGTGTGCATGCATATTAACATTTGTATGTCTCTCTTCTGTTTGACTTCCAGGACCACTCATAAACTGGCTCCTACAGCCTGAGCGTGGGTTTTCTCATTACCATCTTCCCTGTTGTTTTTCTGCTGCATTCTCTGTGTGCTGCCAAATTATGTTGCACTGGCACAATACCATGAAATCCCAGTGGTATTTCTGTCCTGATTGTCACTGTGTATCCTAAAAGCATGCGCAGTGTGACAGAAGGAGACAAACCCCTCTGTCCGCTATGCCTGGGACTGCAGGCAGGTGGCATGGGGCCGGTAATGGAGGGCAGCAGTCAGCCCTTTGTTTCAGAATGTCTGATTTGAGACAGCACTGTGCAGCGTTGCTTATATTTGAAAAGGTTAGATCTTCTTAGAGTTCAGAGGTGGTGGGGAAAGAAGGAAGTGCAATGCAAAGTCCTCTGATAGTATAAAGCATAAAAACCTTTGCCATCCTCTTCTCTATCAGCTTTTGGCATGTCGTCCCCATCCTCCCTCCGCTGAACACATGAGGGTTCATCTGCTTCAAAGCAGAAGGGTTTTCTCCTCCCAGCTGAGCCCATTCAAACCAGAGGCTTTTTTCTGCAGTCCTTGTTTGCTGTCAGATCAAGGCCTGGATGTGTCAGCATGACATCCTCATCCCCCCCGCAAACTGCCGGAGGAGCAGGCCTTGGTGTCATGTTAACACAGCCGTGAAAGTAAGAATCAAGTTTCTGTTAGAAAGAGCTGTGGGTGCACAAGTAAACATAGGTGCAAAAAAGGCAGTGGTATGTAGTTCTGTGTAGATGCATTGCTCACCTGCTTCACACTGTGCAAGATGGGAATTGATGTTACTCCAGAATCTGCCTAGCTCTTAGCAATCATGTTGCATTGTGTTGAGCGAGTGAGCATTTCCAAGGCAGCACAGGTACACAAATGCTGACAGAAAGAACATGAAGTTTCTGTGCATTGAGCTGCACGGTAAGAGCGTCAGTGCTTTTGGTGCAGGTTTGAGAGGCATCCATTTAAAATTCCTGTAAATATCTGGAAATCAGAAGGAAGGAAACATAGCTGTCGAAGCCTGTATAGGTGGAGGATTTGGTTTAGAGCCTGCACACAAAGTCCTGGCTTTACTGATGTGAGCAGAAATTCACTGCAGTTGTTAAAGGCTTGATGAGGTATGTCTGTCAGGAGCATGAATATGTCTTATCCACCAGATAGTGTCCTAATGCTGCCTCTATACAATACCAATATTACTTACATTGCAGAAAATAAATTTTTTTGGAAGAACAGCACTGTTCCAACTGGACTTGGGCAGAGAGAGTTGTATGCACGGAGTACATGAATGCCTATGGCTTATATTCACGCATGAATATTTCACGGGTGTGTTTATGTCTTACGGCATTTTCAGCCCTGCAGCACTGGGTCGTGGTAATCTGAGATGGCAGGACAAGGAAAAAGACTGCTGTGTGGCTAAAGTACAGGACTGGGAACCACAAAATCCATGTGTATCCTTTAGTTCCCCCCATTTACATTCTTGCGTGGTCTTGGGAGGAAAAGAAAGTTCAGCTTTACTCTGCTTCATATTCTATTCTCTGTCAAATGTAAGAATAAGAGCTACCTGCTCAGTGAAGACATCTCAAGGCTTCCTTAGTGCCTCAAAAGATGCGTGACATTGTTGGGATGCTGGGATTTGGAGTTTGGAAAACACTATAAGTTCCACATTGTACAATAACCACACACATGCGAGCTTCCACTCCCTGCTCTGAGAGTGCAGTAATGAAAGGGAGAGATATGAGAGAAGTTCCAGGCCAGGACTGAGATACGCACTACCACGCACAACTGATGCGTGGTAGTGGAGGACATAGGCTGCATACAGACCAGGCATACATTGTTTGTTTTTTTGTTTTGGATTTTTTTTCCCCTCTGTTCTTCACAATGTCATTATTAAAACCACAATACTATTGGCCTCCATCCTGCAGATTCATGGAGCTCAGCAGGGAGCAGGAGGTCAGCCTCTGGCATGGGTTTGATTGGAAGTAGCACACTGGGGAGGAGAAAGGGCTGAGGGCCTGGCCCGGCCCCCATTCACCATCTCCATGCTGGCTTCATAGTGAGCAAGGCAGAGGGCATGGGGCTGATTGCGAGGCCTCACGATCTTGAAGGTCTTTTCTAACTTGGTTGATTCTGTGAAAGGAGCAGGAAAGACCTCAAGGTGCTTTCCATTACTGTGCCCAAAAAGAAGGTGAAGCAGTGATTCTGGTGGGCATTTCCAGCTGACTGCCAGCTTGACCGGTGGCCGAACTGCTACAGCTCCCATGTTCCTGTCGGGCACATGGTAGCTTCCCACAGGCATGGGAGTGTCCCACAGGGGCTGCAGAGCTGCAGGAATGAGCTCTGCACCACGGCAGGCGCAGACTGGTGTTGCAGGGTTTTGTGCAGGACTGCCCTCATCAGCTGGCACCAAAAGGTGAGCTCACTGTGTTCAGAACAAAAAGATGCGAAGTACTTTTTCAGTCATATGGTAGCGTTGTTCGTGGCTCTTGCTTTTTCCCATTGGACAGTTACAAATGGCTGCCTGAGAAGCTGGAGACATGCTTCTAGCCTTTTCCTGAGCTGATGTCAGGGAAGTGATTACCCTTCATTTTCGTGCAGCAGCATCCCTCTGCAACACATGGTTTTCTCCTTCAGTAGCCAACAAAATGAATCCTGGGAGGGAAGGAAGGAATTTTGCAGACCTGCAGTTCAGAGGACTGAGCTTTTGAATGCATTTTCTGATTCCTTTTCAAGTCCCTGGCAAAAATGTCAGCAAGGTGGTGGCTGGGAGCTTCATGCCAGGAAGGGCAGGCTGCCTTTTTAGCGTACGCTTTTTGAAGCATTGCTTTTATCTGGAGCCTCTGTCCCAATTCTCTGTATTGCTTCCCACTGCAGATGCCATCCTTGCTTGGTCCCATCAGGGTGCATATGACCAGTGTGATTCAGTGGCAGGACTGGCTTGAATGCTATAAAGATGCTGAGCAATTTTCTCCTAATTACTTTTAATAATTAGTGTCAGCTGGTTTTCGTAAGATTTTCTACTTACGCAATTCTATGCCAGCAGAATCCACACAAAGGAACTTAAAATCAGGATGGTTAGATAAATAATTGTGGAAAAAGAAAAACTCAGAGGTAATTGTCAATAATTAGTGAATGGCTAATTGACAAGATCTGTTTTTCAGCACCCACCTGGCCTGACGTGTTCATCTACAGCAGGGGTGATGGTTTCACACTTTATCCAAATACTCATGTCCTTTGTTGTTAGCTGCTGTGTTTATGATAAGGATAGCTCCCTTCCTTTCTGCACCTACAAGGACTGCCTGACCTGGCTTGTGCATGTGGCACTTTGCAGTAGCAGTGTGTGTTTGTGCAAGTGCTGCCATTGTGCTGTACCTCTGTAGTCCATAGTCTCATCCAGCACTTTCTGGGCTGGACCCAAGATGTGTTCATGGGATACAGAAATGCCTGTCTCTTTTCTTGATTTATTTTTTTTTTTCATTATTTTTTGTTTATTATTCCTTTCCTTTGCTGGTGGGATGCAGGCAGGGGAAGCTGGGGAGCCACGCACCAGCACCCTTGCTCACTGCCAGGAAATCTACTCGTGCCAGCTCATCGCTCTGTAGCCAGCCAGCCTCAGCTGCTTTTTATTTTATTAGAGAATGTCACACTTTGACTCAGAGCTGGATGCTATGGGAATGATTGTTCCACTCAGCTGGTCCCAGCCTCCTGTCCCCATGCCAAGGCGCGGCGTTGCTGCAGCCTGTGCTTGCAAGGCATTTCTGTGGGGCACATCTGTGCTTTGGGGTGACCTGTGCCTGTTTCCCCACAATGTCCTCAGCTGCGGTAGGAAAATGGCCTCACATGCAGTGACCTGTGCTAGATGAGCTCTTGGCACACAGTGAGGTGCTCAGCATCCTTGGAGACCACCAACCTGCATTTGTGCAAGGCCGGAAGCTGCATCACTGTGCTTGAAGCAAGAACAAAGACACTGCATTTTGGCAGTAGGTACAGGAAGACTGTGCAGACCAGGTTCGGCAGTTTGATCTCCTTTGTCGCCAGTGCATTCCAATGCTTCAGCTTAAATGGCCAGTTTTCCAGCCTGTAGCAATGTGATGCTGCAGACTTCAAGTACCTTGCTCCATAGAGCCTAGCAGAGCACTGTCTTTTGTCAAGGTGTTTATTTCCCTGGGTGAAATTGTGGATTTGTCCTGGTGGCAGCCAGGGTATGTCCCTGCTTCCCCGTCAGCCACAGAGCCTGTCTTGTCACACGATGTGTGCCTTGGCTCTGTTCTCAACACTGGCTGAGGTGATATCTGTCACATAGGATGAGAACTGATGTCCCTATCCTCACAGCACCATGGCCACAACATGGAGCAGCCCAAATGTGATGCATCTACGAGAAAAGCTGAGCTTGATCACAGTAAGAGCATTGCTGAAAATGTGTTTCCTGCTGGCATTTCTTCTAACTCTCTGTCAGAGGTCTCTGTGGAAGTTCTTCCCAGGGGACCCCCTCACCCTATTTTGCTGTTGTTCTTCTTGTTCCCTTCCCACCCATCCCTTGCTTTAGGTCTCAGAGGCAAGGTGTAATGAGCTGCCACTCTCCAACGTTTTAATACATCATCTGATGAGGAGCTCCAGTGCAATGCTTATTTCCAATGCAGTATTATGCACCTTCATTGCTGTGGCTTTCTCTTAAAAATGGCTTCTTATCCCCTTCACTGCCATTTTACTTCCATCTCATTATCTCCATTTCACCGACTCACCATACTGAAATTATTTTCTCTCCTGGAAATCACCAATGCTCACAGTTTTCTGGCTGTAGTGAGCTTTGCTTCGTATTATTGAGTTTTTTCTCAGCTCCATAACAATTTTTTTCTACTAGATATGCCAACATACATGACAATAAATTATTTAGTTCCTTTTTAATGACAGTTAGATCTCCTTGTTGTCAAATGAATTGAAATGTGACAGTGAGCAGAGTTCTCATGGATACATTAACAGAGCCATGATACATACACTTGTCTTCTTGCAGTGAAGTTGAATGTCTTCTTGCATATCAATAGTTCTGGACTCAGATAGAAAAATGCCAGTGCCCCAAATTGGCTTGTGTCTTTACATGGCCTTGCATTGACATGTGAAGGCTGTCTCATGTCTTGACGTAGCCAACCGTACTGGAAATCTGCTTGTGTCCTCTGGATAAGTAAAGGAGTACATCGTTCCCTGGCAATGAGTTCGATAGGATTTTCCTTCCAGCACTGTATTCACTCACACACTGTTTTTTAATGTTGTAAAAGTTGCTGTGTTTTTTCATCTCTTGAAGTAAGTAGACAGCAGTCTCCAATCAGCTGTTTGGCAGATGTTAACCAGAATCAGAGGTCCCAGCTCAAACAGCTACAGAAGGAAAATTCAATGAACATGAAATCAATACCAATAGCTGTGAGACACAGCAATGCACAGATGCTGTTTGATCCATTCAAAAAACTCACGGGAGGAAAGGTGACATTCTCCAAGAGTAGAAGTACTGATGTTTCTCATTCTGTAAGGGGTTTTGGTTTCTCATGTTTGCTGTTGCAAACATTGATTTCTGCTTTTTATAATTTTTTTTTACAATTTTTTCCCCTTGCTGCTTCCTTATATTTTGCTGCTGTTTTGAAAAACTGCATTTAAGCTGAAGGGTTTTTTTTCTGTATTTTTTTCTCCCCACTTTATTCCCCGTTAAGCCAGAGAATGAGCAAGGTCGTAGAACTTCTCTAGAAAAGTTCACTCGCAGCATGGTAAGTTCTTTTTCTTCTCCCTCCTCCCTTTCTTCAGAACTCCATTTTTCATTGGGGGGAATGCGGATGTTTATCTTTTTATTTCAACTTTATGTTTGCAGATAGCATCTTTACAGCTTCTCTTTTAGTACCGTAGCTCATCTAAACAGCAGCTCTGAAAACGGGGTGGGTGGGGAGCAGAATTCCATCGCAGCGCTCATTCCAGCTAATCATCACTGTAAAAGCAAACTGATTTGTGTCCAGAATTAAACGGATGGATGTCTTTTTGCTGTGTGCCCACTACAGAATGTGTTCTGGCTTTTCCTTGTGCAAAGAATCAGAAAAGCATGATTCTAGTAGAACCCACCATTTCAGCTGTATCCATACTGACCTCCATGCATGATTTGTGCTGCCATATGTATATATATATATACGTAGCCATCCACTACACTGCAGCTGCTCCCTCTGTTGCCCCTGTGTGTCAGTACTCATGTAAGTAGTGATGGATGGTACCCTCTGACTTGCTCATAGTACTATCACCTGAAAAGGAGTGCAGTAACAGCAAGAAACATGACACTTTTAAACCTCTCAGATAATGGGATGGTGAGACCTCAAGGGCAGTGGGCAGAGGTCTTCTCCTCTCATCCTTCACCAATCCCTGATCTTCAGCTACTTGGGCCCTAAAGATTTTCCAGAGAAAGAGGGCAATTCTTGGCTTTCTTCTTCTCCCAGTGTTGTGCATGTATCCTGGGGTGCCCCCCTCTTGCAGTAGCACAGCTGGCTTGGTGGGAAGGGCTGGCAGAGGCAGGGGAAGTGTGCAGGATGGGATCAGCAGTGTTCATGGGGCAGCAGGGAGCTAGCACTGAAGGTATATCAACAAGTTGTTCTGGTGTTGTTTAGTATCAAGTATGTTTTGACTTGATATGCCGTACAGTTTTGGCATACCGCTGTGATATTCAGCTTTATAACAAAGATGTTGGACTGTGTATATACAGTACATATGCTTTTACTTGTGTGTTTGTGTACATTAATATATATGCATGCTATATATGTACACACACTGTATAAATATGAAACATTTGTACATCCAGATAGAAAAGAGGAAACTGCAGGTAAGTGTGAGCTATCATACAGCAAATAAACCTGGAGGGGTTCTTTCTGAACAAACTAAATGCAGAGCTTTGTAGTATATGTCTGGCAGGCTTCCTGAGGAATGTATTTATATAGTTAATGCATATGCACACATTTGAAGCATGTTGATACAAAATATATCACTGTGCCCATCTGCATATTTACTACTTTGTAAGAGTTTGCCAGAAAGAGGAACAGGCGAGATTTTTTTATTTATTTATTTATTTTAAATAAACTATGCCGATATATTTACACTGAGTAGCAAATTCTACTCCCAGATGCACCATTCAAGCTTTGAGGAGTCCTCAAAAGTACATGGGCAGCACAGCAGTAGGGCAGACATAGCAGTCCGTGTCCAGTTCAGCCTTATGCTTGGCTCCTGGCTCTGGAGGCAGAGGTGCAAAGCTGGACTGGCTCTTCTGCGTGCGCCAAGGGACGCGGTCGGCCTCGGGGAGCCGCACTCGCTCTGGGCAACGCATTGCAGATCTGACAGTCTGTTGCACCAGAGCACTTACTAATCCACCTCATTTAAAAAATGATGGCCCTGCACACGGTGGCAGGTTTATCTTATTACAATTTTCCTTTCGAATATAGCAAGGATTGACATTATGAAAGCAGAGTTAGCCTGTCTTCTTGCCCAAGTGAAGATAAATGACATCATAAAAATCAGACATCATGTATCATATATGTTATAAATAATACTTGTTACTGAGGTAATAACTTAATTTTAAAGACATACACACACACAAATCCATATATCTACATCTCTCTCTTCTGTCATATCTGATCATCTTACTAATTAAAAGGAGCCTGCTATACTATTTTTAGCTATGCAGTCTCAGCCTAGCTGTTTAAACCACAGTAGTTTCCCATCTGCTTTAGAAATGATTTAATAATCAGACAGAAGCTTAGTTCTTGTAAGCTGAGATGATCCTTCAGGGCCAAGAGTGGAAGGAGAATATATTTTAATGAGTACATTTAGGGAAACCACTGGTGTTGTTGTCTCATAGAGGAAGCTACCAAGTTTCTTCCTAACTTGTGCTGGTGGCCATTTAATGGAAGGGGAAACAAGAGTGTTTGTTTTTATTTTTCTTTGTTGCACCTTGCAGCATCCTGGGTTCTCTCTCCAAAGCAGCAGTGGTTGCTCAGCAATAACAGGGATTATGGGGATACTGGCCTCAGCAGGTAACTTCAAGTGATAAACCTGGGCTGTGATATTCTGACTTGATTTTGAACTTTTAAAAATCACACTATTCCAAGGAAGGAATTATCTCTCTTAAGTAAACTGGTGTTAAATTTTCTAACTCAGTATTGAGGCACTGACCTAGTATTGAGCACATCTCTACACTTTATTCCCAGCTGGCACTTGTTTGTGAAGGCACGCACAGGGCTTTTGAGAGTGCCAGAGTTCAATTTCTGTGCTTTAAGAATGTTGCCAGATATTGGATATAGCGTTTGTTTGGAATTGTCATAACTTCTGTCTGAATCATTTGACATCTCATGCTGTTAGTTGTTGTGTTCCTGGGCCGAGAAAGCTCTGGTCCTGAATAAGATGAAAAAGTTCCTGCTTTGCTCTTCCATCAATGGAATATGAGAGAAGAGTGATAGGACCTGGCAGCTCCCAGGTGAAGCAGCTGCCATGGGGAGCCAAAAATGCAAATGCAAAGACTTTTGGCTACATATTGGAGTCTATGGGATATCTCTTACCTGTGTTTTCTTTGCCCTACGTCCTTCCTCAAGTAGTAGTTGGCCACTGCAGCATATGCTCTGGCATGATTTGTAGAGGCACATCATAGCTGCTTGCAACCTATGTTTGGATATGGTAAACTACAGCTTGTATTTTATCTTTCATTGTTACAGTTTGTAAGAAGTGAAATATTTAATAGGAAAAGGAGCCCTCCTGGTAACTTTTAGGGGAAATGCAAGTATGCAGTGAGACTAAGAGACTCCGGAAATTTACTTTAAATTTAGAGTAGTAGAAGATATCAGGTACAGAAGAGAGATGCACTGTGAAATGTATCCAAGGAATTGGGGAATATTTCCAAGTGGTAAATTAAACACATTGCAGAAAGAATGAGGTGAAAGAGAAGGTGGTCTGTGTTTGGTTTACATGAGGATTGGGCTGTAGGTTAAGAATAGAAGAATAGAACTTCTCTAATGAGCTTTCATTTAAAGAACCTTAGACATTATGAATGGAGCATCTTGTACAGGACAGCAAGTCAATGAAGACCAAGGATTGTTTCCTTTCTCAGTCATATGTGAATAACTGAATTGACAGAAGGGCTCAGCTTTATTAGCTGTATGAGACAGAACTGCAGGAGGCAGCAGGCAGGGGCTGGTCAGCAGGAGCTGCTTCAAGTCTATGAGGTAGCAGCAGTTGGTGTTTGCATTCTCATCCAGGAGCCTTGCAGACAGAGTCTCACATGTAATTCCTTCGTGTCTGTAAAGCCAGTGTCCTTCCATGGTTTCTTATGGAAGGGTGAGTTTTCTAAGAATATTACTGGAGAGCCTATACTTTATATTTGTTTTATATAATTTCTGCCTGATGTCTGAAGTGCACTCCTTCTTGCAGTGATTCAAACAGTATTCTCAGAGTAGCACTTCCTCTACTTTAGTTTTCTGGTACGTCTTAGTGATTTCATGCTGAACTGTCCTTGGCTCAGGCCTGTATGTTTATCCCAATTCAGTGTGGTGAAGCTACTGTTCTCTGCAAAACCTCAAGTCCCATGCTTCGTCCATGTTTATCTATTCCCTTGCATTATGCAGCTACAATAGCCTCGTTGTCTATCCTGCCTATGTGGCTGTCCCCTCCCAGATGCTTTCAGCAGTATTCTCCTCCAGCTATGTCTTGTTACCCCTTCTCTCACTTTCCTATATTCCCAACCCTTGACTGCATCCCTTGGCCACTGTTACTGGCCCTTGCTGTTCAGAATTGCATGTCCTCTTGTTTTGTCTGCTGTTGGATCAAAGTCCGAGTCACACTCTGACTCTCCCGGTCCTTATTCCTAATTCATGAGTATGAAGTCACGCACGTAAAATGTATCAGGAGGGTCTTACCTTCCTCAGGTGAACTGTATATTTTGTGCAGTTGTATGTCACCATGATGTGTTACAAATACTAACCATGAACACAGTTCACGGGGTAGGACTGTAGGAGGAATTGCTGCCTGATATCATCATTTCTCTCTTTTCAGCTGGCTCCTTGATAATGTCATAGAACTGTCATAAACTTACCAGCTTTTCTACTTTTTTACTTTCACAGCTCTACTTAATTGCATAAATAGATAACTGCATTTGAGGGAATGGAAAGTATTCATGACCTGCAATATAATAAAGCCAAAAGTTTAAGCCATTATGGCTAGAAAATACAGTGAGACGAAGTGTGGATAGTAGAAGGTGATACCCTGAAATGCTGATGAAATGGGTGTCAGGAACAGACAGTTAGAAGGGAAGGATGTAGGAATGGATGCCAAAACTTCTTAGATTTGGCACCAAGAAAAGCCATCTGGAAAAAGGATTATTTTTATCTTTGGATGTTGTCTTACTTAAAAAGAAAATTTGCTTGTTCCAGTACTCAAATCATTAACAAATACTGTCTCTACTGGGAAAAGGTTCTTGCATTCTATAGATGTGGGAAGCACCAGAACATACGTAAAGCATGAGGGGACCCAGTGCGCACTGACAACTTGCCTGTTATGTGCAGTAACCAGTCAGTGGCTAGCCCTGCTTGGAGCCGCATGCCTGGGGCGTAAGTGCACGTACTGACAGAACTCTGCATGCTTGTGTGCACTACATCTGTTCCTGGTACCCACAGAGTGCCCTACCTGTACAATGTGTGGGCTGGATAGGTTTATGCTGCACGCTCAGTTCAGGAAATGGCGGGTTGCATGTATTGCATGTACATTGTGTTATCCATTCGGTATGCAGGTCTACTTCAAAAGATAAGTATTCTTCATTTCTCATGGGTAAGTTACTCTTCACTTCCTACCCTTAAAACGCTGCTGTGTGGTTCTGCTGGCACAGGATGGCCACTGCATTGGCCCCAGAGGACACTGCTCCTGCACTGGGTGAGTGATCCCTGCTTGCACCATCTTTGGGATACTTCTGAATGAAAGGCCCTATTTGGAGTTCAGGATATGCTTACTATTAATTTACTGCCTTTTATTCCAGCTGCATACAAATTCAAGAAGATAAAACTACCTTCTACATGCTGCGGTTACTGAATCACGACCTCAGCAAGGATTTCTGGGGAGAGGGCTTGAGCCCTTCTGTGATTTCAGCCAGGCTGATATTCCAGCACCAACAGAAAGCATCTTTTAAACAGGCATACGGTAGCAGGGATGGGCTGACACCTAGAAAGGCCCAGTAAAACAAACAGGGATGGGGCACATTTTCAGGCAGGTTCTCAAACACCACTGAGCTGCACTTGCCTGGGAAGTTCTCTACTGGACAGGATCTGGGCTATCTGCACCATGCAGCACCTGGTGAGCATCGGCACTGGAACTGTGTGGTCTCTTAGGGTCATCCCTTCACAGGATGAGTTGGAGCAGTCCACAGACTGCTTGAACTAATGCCAAAATGGGCCCTAACACATTCTTAGATACGCAGGGCCCAAAATGCTTCCCAGCAGAAGTGGGGATGCATCCACCTTCCCGGTGCTGCTGGGAAGGCAGAGGAGAGCTCCAGCATTCTTGGAGCTGCTTAAGGAGTTGGTGAGTACTGGGCTCATATATGTTCCTTGTTTGTTTTACATGTAGTGGTGCACCAGGGATTCTGAAAGCAAAGCGTAGCATCTGCTTAGAAAGCATGGGAAAATCTCAAAAAATAAGGCAGGGATGGATGATACCAATTTTAATTGGACTACAGCACTGATCTGCTTTTATATCCCATCATATTAATTGAAAAAGGGGATAAATTGAAATGGAGATGTCAGATGTAGAAGCCTGACCCTGGTTAGCAGAGCTGTGAGCAGCTCAGGCACCTTGGTACCAGCAGCAGACTCATGCTGCACCATGTTGGGGTGACTCTTGAGATGGTGCTGGTGGCAACGGATGAGCATCCTGCATGCTGCTGTTGTGCTTGCCCTCTACAGCAGCTCCAGGGATCAGTCTGTGTCAGCATGGAGTTGATGGTGTTGTCCATGATAGTCTGTGTGCTTCTTTAAGTGATATCTGTTCATAGTTTGTATTTATTTTGCATTGAACTAAGTTATTTTCCTTTATTGTTTATGTTTTTAACTCTGTTTTGTACTTAACTTTGTTAATTTGTGTTGCTTATTTTATGTTTGCAGTGTATCTTCTCATGAAAAAAAACAAGTCTAATAAAAGAATTTTTTTTTAAATGATACTAGAATAAGATTTCCCCAAGATGTACTCTAACACTGAGAATCAAGGAGTACTGGCAGGGCTAGGGCACTGGAAATCTTCTCCTTTGGTTGGTTGCAGGACACTGCCTGCCCACTCCCAGAGTTGTCAAAGTGCAGTAGCTAGAAGTTACGGAATTGCGTGGTGCCTGTCAGCATGTGAAAAAGCTTAAATTGCAGCTGGTGGGAGATTTGCTCACCTCCAGCGGTACACAGAGCAGTCCCAGTCCTCTGCTGAGGTCTTACAGAGGGATGGAGATGTACTACTCCCCGGGAGATGGCCTCTCCCCCAGGAAAGCGATCCTTCTGGTTGGGGAAGGGACAGCACCAGGGAGCAGAAGGGGATGGAGAGCGATTAGTGGAGTCAGCTGTAGCAGAGTCCTAAGTGGGTGGGTGAGGAGTGTGGAGTGGAGTGGCATGACAGTGCTTTGTTTGTGTTGCTGTGGTAAAGAGTTGAGCACCAGAAACATCCCACACGCTTCCTCAGCCTCACTACTGGGGACAAATACCACCCGATGTTAAGGTAAGTGCCTGATGGGGTGCATGGGAGTGCTGGCCTGTGCGTGCTGCTGGTGGTGAGCGACTGCATGTTGTGCATGTGAGCTGCACTGTGTGCTGGGCACAGCATGCCACTTGTGTGAAACTACAGGTATGGGACAAAACTAAACCGTCTACTTACAAAAAAAACACAATTCACATCCCCTGCCTTCTCTCTTACTAGGCCAAGTGCTGCCTTTGGTAGAGGAAAGAAAAGAGCAAGGTGGAAAGTGGTGGCTTGTGCAAGAGATTTGAAAGGAGATCTGCCTAGTTTTTCTGTCAATCCCAGATGGGCTTTTCCCCCTCTTGTTTGCTTTTTGCCTGTGTTAAGTTGCTGAATTCTGTTTCATTCAGATAACTGCTAATTGCATTTTATATTTTAGTTTTGTAGCTGTTCAGCCATAGAAAGTGCTGTGTACATCCAGTAGCCTGTGGGTCGCTTCGGCAGGGTGTGGTAAGAGCCCTGCTAATCCTGGGGCCAGCTGGTCCCCTCCCAGGCACACAGCCGTGTGGAGGGTGGGCCCCAGAACTTGGAAACCCCCTTCTGGGGGGAAATTTCAGAAGGTCTATTAAGAATTCCCTGACTTTTTCCTTAGGTTACTCCAGATTGTAAGGTTGCACTCTGTATGACAGAGTAAAAGAAGAGCTGTAGTGTGCTGAGCTCAAGACGTTGTGCTCTGTCAGCAAAGCTTAGGTGAAACTTCTGGAAGTAAGGCAGGAGCTATAGATGTTTTTGTGCACTGGGGAAAGGAGAGCTAGAAATGTGGGCCAGGAGCTGGCTTCCTGCTAAGCAAAGACAGTGGAAGGAAAAAAATCATTTATCTTGGCTGAGCCTGTTTAAAGAAAATGTGAGGTCTTTTGTAATGACCTAAAACTTCATCTACCTGTCAGTGATCTCACTAAGAGAATCCTGACCCAACGCCAGATCAGACCCAAAAGGACCCTTGAAGTTCTCTGGCATACTTTGCACCCAGCTATGCTGTAGCTACCCAAGATACAGGTATGTGTCTTACCCCGGCCATCTGAGGCGATGTGGGCCAGCCTCGCTTCTCAGCTGGCCACCCCACTGCAGGGGCGCTTCTTTCCAGGGGCGCTGAAGCATGTCGCACAAGCTGGGGTTTATGTTGTATCTGTCTGGTGGAAAGCTAAGTATAGCATTCCCAAATGTGCTGTGTCTCCTTCTGAACCTTGTGCTACAGAAGCATGGGAAGATTAAAAAGAAGCAGAAATAAGAGGGACCAGTTGCTATATCTTTGAGAAGAAAAATCCCAAATCATGTGCCCACAAACCAGTAACATTCAGCCTGCAGGTGCTCACCCCATTCAGGCCCCAAAAGTGAGGCTGATCCTTGGGTTAGAACAAATGTGTGTGTGGCTGGAGACCACTGAGGAACCAAAGCAGTGCAGTATGTATTCTAAAGCTCTCTCAGTGTTAATCCATGTGTGCTGGCTTCTTTTTCTACCCATCTTGCTGCTGCTGTGCCAGCCAAGACTGGGCCAGACCCACAGCATCGAGCCCACTGCAGAGCCAGGAGCTACGTCCACAGTGCCAAAGGAAGCTGTGAGGGAGTGCTGCAACATCTTGCACTGCCAAACAAGATGCTGAGGCGGGAGCTGGCGTGTCCCCAGCTGCCTGCCACAGAGAAGATAACAGAGAAGCTGACTGGCTGCCTTTATCTAGGGCCATTATAAAAACCCAATGAGTATTCATTGGTTTTTTTCCTAAGGAGCTATCCAAATACAGGTATAAATATTTTTTTTTTTCCTAAAACCAGCCATGTTATGGCTCCAGAAGTTAACATCTGGATGTTTACCTTCTTTTCCTTCAAATTGGGCTTAAGAATCAGTGCTTCCTCAGCACCCTTTCACTGGTGTTCACAATAGCAGTGTGTGCTGACCATGCCTGCAGCTCCTGCAGAGGACTTACCACCCCCTGGGATTGCACTGGCCCAAGCTCCCCAGGAGTTTGTTCAAAAATGAGAATTTGATTTACAGTGAAAGAAAATAGGCTTATCTTAAGCAGCAGCAGTGCCATACAGCAGCTGGGCCCCAGGAGAGAGCCTACAAAATGGTGGTGGTGGCACTCCCATCCCAGGAGGGATGGTCCAAGCAACAGCACTGTTTGTCACAGCAGAGTGTGGTCATGTGATCAGCCCAGCAAATTGCTTGATAAAGGCTGCATGTTTGAGTGGTAACATCAGGCTTCTGCAGATAGCTACTGCATCCATCTGCTGTAGTCTTGAATGGGAAGAGATGAGGAAACAAAGAGGCTGACGGGTCCTTTTTTCTTGGAATGTTAATGTGTTAATCTAGAGAACAGACCCGGATCTGTTCAAACTGCTCGTATGATCCGTGGCAGAGGTTTGGCCCGGACCAAAGGGCACACTTAAGAGTCTGAGAACAGGAGTCACGAACACAGGACTATTCTCAGTAGGTGATTTGGATGTGGCCACCTGGTTTTTAAGAGTAATTGGGGTGAATTACCACCCTAAGCTACTGATTTTCCATACCTTGTGGGTATAAACTCCATGCCAGTTCTGATTTTCCTTCCCTTTGCGCTCTGAATTTGTTGCAAGGTGATCAAACAACTTCTCTAGTTGGAATTGGCTGGATGGTCACATTCAAAGAGTTGCAGTCAACAGTTCAATATCTGGGTTGAGACCAGGGACAAGTGTTGTCTGCAGGGGTGGACAAGCAGTGACTGAGGCCAGTTAGCCACAACTCACCTTGCAAAATCCAGGGGTAAAATTGCAGGTAACTGAAAAACCCTCACCAACAGTCCCCATCTCGTGGCAGCTGCTTCACTCACACTGTGGGTCTCCTGTCTGTCTGTTTGTCTGTGCCTTCCTCCAGGGAAAGTCTCTGGCCAGCAAGCGCCTGACGGGCCTGATGCAGTCCTCCTGACAGTCACCCCACCAGTCTGCCACCTCACCAGGGAGGGCAGGGTGCCATGGAGGACAGCAGGAGCAGAGAGCAGCTCAGCGAGGGACAGCCCGCCTGTCACCAATTACATCAACACTTTATCTGCACAGCTTCGTAGTGACACCGAGCTCTGCATGGGGACTTGGATTCCTGCTTGGGTTTGTAGGAGCACAAGCCACAGTACACAGGAAGCAAGACAATGGCTTGGTGTGTTGTTATTTGAGGAAACAGACTTCACCACTGCTTGGAGAAAGAGGAACTGAGAGAGATCAGTGGTTTTGCTTCACCTCTTCTCTTCCTAGCACAGACACGGCTATAAAAGATGCCACTGCAATCCCATTTGCTCCTTTTCCTGTGGCCATCTGGATCCAATAAAATATCTGCTGGAAGCTGCTGCTCCTTTCCACAAAGTATCAAATGCATCTCTCCTGCAGATCCATTGACTTTAGCTTTGTTTTTAATTTCCTATGTCTCTCCTCCTTTAAAATATCAGGAAAAAATGGCCCTCACTAAGTTTGTCACTCGCTGTCCTTCCAATGGCATGTAGCATGTCCAAAGACGATGGTCAGATCCTCGTCCAAAGGCAGGAGACTTTGAGTGGCTTACATCACCTGAGGATCTGCCCCACTGCGTCAGACTGATCTTGGTGCACATCCTCCGACATTGGCGGGGTTGCTCTGCATGTACGTTTAGTGCAAGACTGCCTGACGTAGTTGTGTTTTAGATGTATGACGCACATATGCACAAACACACAGACACACACATGCGGTATTTAAAAGTGAGCTGTTTTCTATTGTATTTGGCTTTCTATTTATTTGAGGTTTTGCATACTTGCTTAATGATGGATGTTCAAGTTTTATTCCAAGTAGGTAGAACTGAACCACTTAGAGGAAATTTAGCCCTGATTACAGTGGGCCAAAATCTGTTCATGCGTATACAGGGGAAAGTAACTCTGCTGTAGGCATGTGTAATGGAGAGCAAAATTCAGTCTGCAGCAAGGAGAGATCTGATGGAGAAAGGCTTGTCAGAAGAAGTTTGTGGCTGTGCAGATGCTTGGGTGCCTGTGTTTCACCTGATGTAGAGCCCGTGAATACAAATGCAAGAGATGACCCAATAGCTTGTTTCAGAACGTGGGTATTACAGAGGTTAGGATGAAGACGGACCTGGAGTGACTTGGTTAATGACAAAACTCACATTACACTAGCTGCAGATATGTAAAATGGATTGCATTCACATACAGTATACTGCCTATATACAAAATTTTCAATTTCAATTGACTTAGTACCACGAAACCTGTAGTTTTTAAGCAGTTCAGATCTGAAGTGTATGTGAAAATAGACACTTGGTCTTCTTCCCTTATGCCAAGCCAAGCTGGTTTGGTTTTTGTTTTGTTTTGTTTTGTTATTTGGTTTTTGTTTTGTGTGTGTGTGTGTGTGCAGGTGGTAGAAATTGCTATATGGGTACATGTCTGCATTCCTATCTAGGAAAAATTATCTATCTTGCTAAGTAGACAGCTGGCTACCAACCATATTTATTTCTGTGGCAAATATTATCCTAATATCTGAGGCTAATGTATGCATAAAATCAGGCCAGCATAGTTTTCACCAGTAAAAGAATTTTCCCTCTTTACCCATGAATTTTCTCATTTTGATACCTCAATTATTTTTCCCAGACAGCTCTTGATATCAATTTTACATAAGGTCTATAGGACTCTACACCTGCATGACTATACAGTAGAGTACTGAGTACGGTATTTGTTGTTTACACTTACTTACCTAGTTCCTATAATAGGCCTATTAACTGGGATCTTCAGACCAAATTCCTCCTACATACGTGGCAATACATGGCAAATGAGAGCTCCAGGACTGCAGAATCATCATGGCTGTGCACGTACATACAGGTAACATTTTCCTCTCATGGAGACATTCGGGTCTTTGCTGATTGTCACTAAACCATCTCAGCAGGACCTGTCCATTCCATGCTGACCATCCAGCCAAAGGCTCCCCTCTGGTAGTAGTAAGTGTTTGTGCAACAGTCCCAGTTGTCCAGCCATGCACATTCAAACGTGTCCCCCTGTGCCACCCCTAAGAACGTGCTGTGTGCTGCCTGTAGGTAATTTGCTGGGTTTGAACAGCCAAGAGCATGGGGGAACTGCGGACAGTGAGTATGCATATGGGCATACATCAGGGGGCCTGGATGCTGAACAGCTTGCTATCTAAATGCACACTGGCACAGCTAATCTGCTCAGCAGCGGCAAGCCAAGCGGATGGAGCTACGTATGCTCTGTAGAGGGGAGAGCTCCCCTCCTAGCTTCCTGCCCAAATTTCTCTGAGACAAACATCATGAGATCAGAAAGGGTCTCCTCCTGGGAGCACATACAAATGGCTGTTCATGTGTCTTCACATATGACAATGCTAATGTGTAAGTATTTCCATGCAACCTGCATCCTTGAATTACTGCTGTTTAATGACATCACTTATTGCAAGTGATGCTTCTCTTGCGCACTCGCCAGTGAGCACCACCCACTGAGTGCTGCAAGCAGTAATCTGCTGCTTTATAAGCATCCATGTCTTCCAGCTACCTCATCGCCCAGAAGATGAGTTAGGAAATCAGTTTTTCACCTCTCCTTATGTTCTCAATGGCATTGTTTCAATGAAAAGCAGGCTTGGAAAGCTTTTACAATCTCCATGCTGTGAGAGCTAGCCACCAGGCATCCCATACCTGCAGGGCTATAGCTGTGAAATACAGCTGTACATTATTATTTGGATAATGGAATATCCAAAGCATTAATGATCATCATAGTGGGCCAGCACCAGGACAAGCACGAGGAGGTTTTGACAGGTCAGTGCAATGTTAGGCTAAGGCAAATGGATTAATACATTCTATGTATGTATAACTCAGTGCTAAAATCCCATAGAGTACTGTAATAAAATGGTAGCAGGGCATAAAAAGCCACAGTAAGCTGACATAATAATACCAGGATAAATGTAGCAATAAGGTAACACAGGCCACTGCAGTAAAGTAGCATTTTGGTAATGCAGCAATAAGACACAACAGGACGCTGCAGTAAACTAGTTTGGGGAGTAAGGCAGTAGTGATGGCATGTGTGGGCAGTCTGGTGTATTTGTGTCAGGTACTGCAGCAATAAAGCCAACACAAGGTGTGCAAGTAATAAGTTACTACAGTAACAGCAACACAATGCACTGTACAGCTATATCAGGAAGCTTCCATGCTGCAGGCAAGTCCTACAAGACATGGTAATGAGACAAGGCAACATGTGCCCCATTTCTATAAAAAATGGGTCTTTTCTCTGCATAGTAACTAAGGTCCTGGAATCGTCTCATCAACACCAATACCATCCACTCCTGCTTTCAAGAAAGCTGAGGTGAGAGCATTCCCCCATTCAAACTCTTATATTGGTCTGGAAATAATGACTTGACTTGTCTTTTTGGCCAAATTTGCACAGATGGTGGGGTTCTTCAGTCACTCCTCATTCAGGTGACACTGGCAATTCATTGGTCCTTTGCCTTGGGAAGGCTTTGGCTCTGTCAACTTCTGGAATGGGTGGTGCTTTCAGACTACAGCTATTTCTGTTCTGGGGGGAGATGGGAAACTAGGTACAGGACATCTGACTGTACTGTCCTGTTTCCTGAAATGCACAAATAAATTGAGCATCCTGGAAAAGTCAAAGCAATGAGGACCGAATCTGTTCTGTCTGTCATGCACACATGGAGAATCTTGCCAGAATCAGTGGGAACCCGATGTACGCCCACGGGACCAGTTCTCAGTGTCACCAGGTGGGTGGCTGGTGGTGGGTGCTTCTTCAAGTCGTGTTTCTCGTTGCCTTCCTGCTTTTCCTTTTTCTATTTTTTTTTTTTTTTTTTTTTTTTTTTTTTTTTATCACCACCTTTGTGAGAAATGTCTTTAGAAAAAATCAGTTTGCTGTAAAACAACGTGTAGCAAGGTGGTCAATGAGTAGGTGGATGGATTGCTTTCTTTGTAGCCCTTTGTAAAGGGTAAAGCATTCTGGGGAGAAAAAAAAAAAAAAAAGAAACAACAAAACCCACACAACAAAACAGCATCCACTGCTATACTTGGTAATAACCTTAAGCATCTATGTCAACAGTGCAGCTCAGATGGAGTGTGTGTGCTAGATAACAAGCTGCTCTCCTGGGGAGGGGACGTATATAGGGCACACTGCACACCGACATCAGCAGGAGCAGCTCACAGCTGGCTCTGCCTCCTTCCACCAGACCCAACAGAGACAGATTTTGTGGCACAGCTTTCCGATCTCTCACACAACAGCTCTGCTATTCCCTGATAGGGCTCCCTCTGTCTGGAGCCAGTGGAGTTCGGTTCAGATTCCGAGCAGTGCTCTGATATGCCTTGGCTTGGCTCTTTCCTTATACTCCTTGGCTTACTCTTATTGTGGTTTAATGATTAAGTAGGATTATTAAAGCAGAGCTCGCAGTAGGGTGAGATAGGCTGGGTTATCATGATTTTGTAGTTTAAGCTGTGAGCAATTTTGCAGCTTCTCAGTGCTGTTTATAACCTGAGACAGAGAATAAGCGAGGCGGCTGCTCAGCAGAACAGCGCGTCGTCGAACAATGCGCTATCTTCATGCCCATACGGACTTTGAACTTACTGGCGAGGAGAAACGCTTTGTAGTGAGAAAAGTAATCTCACGGCAGGAGGGAGTCAGACCTGATCAACTTTTTCATGTGCTACAGATTTTGCTTTGCCAGCCCCTAACATCTGCAAGGCTCACCGCTAAGAGCCAGCAACCTCCTAATCCTGCTGCTGAGCATTTGAAAACAAGCTTTTCAGGAGTCTGCCTTATACAGCAATGCCATTACTCACAGACTCTTAACATGAATTTATGGCCATTGCCACAAGCATCAGTGTGGCTGCCCACTCCCATCAGCAGTGGGAAGCTGCGCATGCACTCTGGCGGCTGGAGGTTGGTGGGCAGAACGTAGGGAGCAGTTTGCAAGCTCACAGCTTGGATGTGCTGTAGGGGAAGGAGCCCAGCGCAGTTGGAGATGGTTGGATGTGAGCAAGGCTTGTCAGGGCTGTCAGCAATGACGCTGGTTTACCAGCACATTCCCATCTGGAGGCCTACATAGACCCTGACACGTCTCACGTGGCAGAGGAGAATGCTGTGGCATTGCAGTGAACCCTAACTAGTGCTGTCTGTCAGCAGAGATAGAAAACTGAGCTTGCACCTGTTTTCTCTGGGGTCTTAAACTGTGCCACCCTTCCCCAGGCAGTGAGAGAAAAGATCTGGCCTGCTCCTTTTATGGCTGGAATAGAAAAGCCTTATCTGGGCTGAACTTCAGGAGCGATCGCTTCCACTTGGATCCATGTCAGGGTTTCTTCCATCCATCTCTGTGTGGGCTATGCCTGCATGCCACACAGCATCACAGCCCTTCATTGGCATCCTTGGTGTCAGCCTGCAGCCACGTGAGCTAAGGCACACCAGATGAAAAATTCAAATGATGCTTTACACAGCACAACATTTCCCGAGAGGGATTCTGAGCTGCCCAGCTGTGCTGTTCTCAGGCCGTTTGGAGCCACACACAAAAAAGAGGCGCAGTAGCACTTTTCTCTACAAGGAAAGAGCCCTGAAGAGCCTCTCACCTGTGTGATGCGTCTGGCAGCACTCAGAGCACCAAGGGAGTGCGGGTGAGTTCCACAAGGGCAGGTGGTCTCTGAGGATCTCTGCTACGGTCTGGGGAAGTGGATGAAAGCAGCTCCATTGCACGACCTCCTAGCGCCGTGTATTTTTTGGCCTTGCTCAGGCATGGTGACCGCTCAGGGATCACTCTGGGCACCCCGGGCAGGGCGGGCAGCCAGCTGGCAGAGCAGAGCCCAGCTGCTACATGGCAGGGAGCCGCAGCACTGTTAACCCTTCCTGAGGTACCGCCGCCACACCATGCGGTGACTGCTGCAGCACCTGCGGGTCCACTTCCAGTTCCCCCTCCCCTCTTGGCTTCTATTTCAGGATGGTCTGTGTGCCTCATAAAGGGGCTGTCAGACTGAGATCTCCCTGCTGAAGATGGTGGAGCTCTGCACCTGATCTTTAATTAAACAGGCAGACAGTGATGTGTATGCGGATTTGGACTCACCCTCTCTTCGTCCCAACCTCAAAGCCACAGGGCCTGGTCTGTTAGCAGGACGGGCACGTCCTGGGTGCAGGAGCAGCTTGGCAAAGCTGCATTTGCAGGCAGGCTGTGCACAGGGCTGCCCTTCTGCCACCTCAGGGACATCTTTGTCTGTGCAGCTGCACATTGGTTTTTCAGCCAGCAGCAAGCAATGGCTGGTACCAGGTGTTAGATCCTCTATGCTGGGGTACAGGCATGTTTTGGGCCAATTCAAGCTTGCTAGAGCTTCCTGCAGCTTTGAGAAGCTTCTCTTGCTACTGCCAGAAAAGCCCCACAGCCAGCTTTGTTCACACACACATAACACAGGGAGAAAAAAAACCTCATGTGCTCAGCATGATGGAGCATCACTAGGGCCCTCTGCAAATCACACACCCCTTCCTGTAGCCAAACTCCTGCATTTCTGCAGGTCTCTTTCCACGAGCCACCGGTCCCCAAATGCTGGTCCTGCTGCAATGGCCACCTCTGGACACTTACCTGCTTTGCTGTGATGCCGCAGCCCCTGCAGTGTCCTGCCATCCCCACCAGCAGCCCCCACAGCCAACACCTCCCCTGGCTCCCTGCAGCCTGGCCTGCCCTTCCCTCCTGACCATCTCTTCTAGCCAAGCCATCATTTCCCAGAAAACAGACGTGTTGCTATATTAAGGAGATCTTGCCCTCAGCGTTTCTTTGCCTCTGGGGAGTCTCAAGCAAATCAAGTGGCAGAGTATACGCAGAGCAGCACAGACTCCCTGTCAGATGAAAAGGACAGTCCAAAAGGGAAGAGAGAGCAAGAGAGAAAGCTCTGTGTTTGCATTTGTCTCCGACATGATGGATTTCCCTTTCCTGGAATGCAGCCTTGGCGTAAATAAAGCCAGGAACGGCTTTTGTGTAAGAACTCGCTTCCTTACACATAGTCATGGAGTCACAGACAATAAAAGCCCTGGCAGTTCATCCCACAATGCTCTGTATAATCAGCAGGATTTTCCCTACTGAATATTCACCGAAGTTGCTTTATCTACCGTGCCTCAAAAATCTCCAGAGATGGGACCTCAGCAGATGCCCCCAAGAACACATTTTTCCATACCTGAAGCGTTCTTGCTGCAAAGATAAAAAACAAACCTCTGATCTAACACATTAAAAAGCCATCTCTGGGGGAGTTCAAAGACAGCGAGAGCCATCTGTGGGCCAAAAACAGCAAAGATGTTCAACACTGTAGATTCTTCCCCAAGTGGTTCCCTTACTGTATTTTTTTGCATTGTCTGGAGATTTTGCTCTTTGCATCAACATCAGCTTTCACCCCCCATCATGGAACAGTGCAGATATCTGTGAGTATCAGCGTAGATACATGAGAACTATTGTGTTTCCAGTCTTTTCCCCACCTCAAACTGTAAAGTTGAGGCTCTTTTCATATTCCTATTCCGCAAAGACTGCTATCACCTGTGCTGCCTTTCTTGAAGGAAAAACATGCTCTTCCATGGGAACAAAGACCTCATCACTCATGTAGGTGAGGCAGCACCTAGTGTTGTGCTCGCTCCCCATGGCAAACTACATACATATGTCACGTGTTGTGGTGTGGCATATTTTGCTAAATCTGTGTATTGCCATTTTTTACCACTATACCTACCTCTGTCTCATATTGCCATCTGTTCTGAGGCTCCCCGCATCCACTCTCCTCACTACCAGCAGGGGACTGCCAGGAAAATGGTTCCTCCTTTTCTTGCCAGATTTGGAATTTCAGTTGGAAATTTACCCTAGCAAGAAAGCCAAGGGAAGTCATTGCCAGGCTCATTCCAGCTTTCCTGCTGGGCACATTTTCAGTGCTGTCGCAGAAGCTGAAGAGAGGAGCAGAGTCCCTTCTGCAAGGGGCTGTGCCCAGCACTGTGAGGAACCTGCAGCTGTGTCCAACCAGGAAGAGCAGATTGAAAAAAGATTTCAAAAATGTGCTAGGTGTGGGTTCAGGAAAAGCATTCTATGTGACATGGATGACACTCACAGCACTCTATGCACTTGTCCTCATGAAAACTAATGCACCTGGCTGCAATGGCTGAAGGTCTTTTTGGAAACAGATCCAATCGAATGTGCCAGTGCCGCCTCAGTCATTCCTGAAATTAATTTTCCACAGGACTGGCTTGCATAATATGCATAGGGCTTCTTTGTTTGCATGTGGTACAATCCTGCAGCCAAGTCAGAGGAAGCTTTATACAACTCTGTACTGCCATGCTTGGTCAGCACATGCATATGTGCAAGCAGATGCTGCCAAAGTCAAGCCAGGACTTCTGTGTGCAAGTTTCTTGTAAAATGAGGCAAGTGTGTCAGGCATTTTTCTCTGTAGTACCCCTGCAGGCTTATTATACAAAGACAAGATAGCGACTCTGCTCTGCTGTTACCACCCTGCTCCAGGTAACTCACCGCAGCTGAATGTTTAGGTGGAAGAACACCTGATATGCTTCAACTCACCTGTTCCCACTGGAGATTAGGGCAGTATCAGTTATCATGGGGTTTCTGCTGGCAGAGTGAGCAGTATATCACCATCTTTATAGTGTCTCT